AAAATAAATAAAATAAAAAATTTGATACGGTATTACAAGGTTTTATTGATTTGATTAAAAATAAACCCAGCAAGCTGTTGGTCTGTGAACTCCTGCTCGTCGCCCCTGTGTGGTCACCACCGAGGCCGGGCTGAGCTCGGGGGCAGGAGTGGTCCTGGGGGTAAATGAGAATTGGCGGCGTTGGCCTTCACAGTTGCCGCCCTGCTCTCCGTGGTGCCACCTCTCTCTGCCCTGTCCTCCTCAGATCCTGTGGCCACCCTGAGACAGGCAGAGCTGGTGGCAGTGTTCCAGGTCCAGGTCTGCCTGAGGGGCAGGTGTGGCCATGCTGCCACCAGCTGGGCCCTCGGGATCCCTGAGGCTTCACCAGACCCGTGCTGCCCTGGAAGCCAGCTCCAGAGGCGCAGGGGCCAGACGGTGGAAGCGGCCAGCTCAAGCCTGGCCCATGCGTGCCCTCTGCACGCCCTTCTGCTTGCCTGTGCCACGTGTTCTGTTCTGATCGCACCGCCTTGGCCTACCCGCCCTGCCTGCCCTGCCCTCAAGACGGGTCCCAGTCCCCAAGGCCCGTGTGTGGCTGCCTCCTGCCGAGAGCTTGTCGGGATTCCCATAATCGAGGAGCGCTTGCCAGCTCCACGCCCTCTGAAACTCGTCACCAGCTGGAGAATTAGCAGGAGGCTCAGCCACACACCCCGAGACGCAGGGTCTAATTCCACATCCAAGGCGCGGGGACAGAGTGCCGTTCCATTCAGATGAGTTAAGCACAAATAAATCCTAAACCTAAGATTAAATTCTCCTTTAAACACTTCTGGGTTTCCAGCTTCAGGGGAAAATATGCCTGGGAAAATATCTTGGGGTTTCATCAAACACTTGGAAAATAATTTGAAAGCATTTTTCCAAACCCTCCATGGTTCAGCCTGAGTCCCAATTGACACTTAATAACCACGTCTGTACAGCATTTTGGGATCCTGTAGACATCGGACCTGGGGTGGGCACATCCGTCTGCAGGCTGTCCCCCCGCCCAGGTCCCAGGCCCACAGGGTTGGGGCCCACTTTGGGGGATTCGTGTTCCCCCATCGGACATTCACCAAGCGTAACTCGCTGGTTTGGCTTGGAGCTGCAGGCGACCGGAAATGAAAGGAGCTGGAGCTTGGTTCACCCCTTTCCAGCGAGCCTGCAGGCCGGGGAGGAAGAGCAGCAAGGCAGGCTGCGCTCGGCTGGGTTCCTTTCCAGTGTGTGACCCACCCGTGCTTCTCCACGTCGATGGAAACCTGTGTTCAAATTTTGGCTGAAATCGTCTTAAACCTGTCCCCCAGTTTGGGGGTAACACCTGAGCTGTAGCTGAGCCTTTCGATCCATAAACACCACATGTCTTTCTGTTTATTCAGATCTTTTTTGCTTTATCTTGTCAGCATTTTGCTGAAACATTCAGATCACATGCAAGCGTTGTTCGATTCATGCCCTAGCGTTCCATTTTGGGGTAGCTATTGTCAATTTTTAAAAGACTGCCCAGCTTCCTGTGTAGCTGGTCTGCAGGTGCGTGTCTGCACAGACTGCCCTTTTGTCCTGCTTCGTCCTTCTCCTGCTTTGACTTTTCTCTTTTTTTGTTGTTGTTTTTGCCACACTAAGCTGTATTCCCAGCCTTTTTTATTTAATTACTTTGGAGACAGTCTCACTCAGTTGTCCAGGTCAGCTTCATGCTTGAGGTCCTCCTGCCTCAGCCTCCTGAGTAGAAAGATTACAGGTGTGTGCTACCACACTTGGCTTCTTTTCTGCTTTTTAAGGTGAAAACTTTCATCACTGACTTGGAACTTTTCTTCTTTTCAGACATTACAATTTCATGCTGTTAATTTTTGAGTGGTACCTTGGTTGTATCCCACAAGTTGATAGATCATGTTTTCATTTGCATTCAGGTAAATGCTTTCTGTCTTCCCTTATGACTTCTTCATTTACCAGAGGTTAGAAATGTCTTAATTTCCATGTGTTTGGAGATTTTTAAAGATGTTTTTCTTTGATTGAGTCTCCTAAAGTTTAATCCCACGGGGGCGAGAGGACATATTTTGTTAGGTTCCAGTCTCCTGTCACTGTGTGAAACCTGTCCTTTGGTCAGAAGATGGCCTGCGGCGGTTCTGAATGCCTGGGTCCAGGACTGTGAGGACCAAGGAGCCGTGAGACAGAACCCAGACGGAGCCAGGGCAGCTAAGAGCTGTGAGGCCCTGGCGGTGGCAAGGCCTGTAGGGTCCCATGGCTTTGCAAAGTCAGGGGCCTCTCACTGACTTCACCCTGGCTGGAAAGTACTGGGTTATCTGGAGATTAAATCGCATAGCCAGGGGCTGATGGTAAAGCCTCACTTGTGACCCGGACCGTTTTATTTATTTAGGGTTTGTGGGAAGCGGTGCAGGAGAAGCTGCCAGGCTCTCAGTGATCGTGGCGGTCCCAGCTCAAAATGGCCGCTGTCCTGTCAAGCTGAGCCCTCAGGTCTCTGTGAATGTTTTTATGCATTTAAGGAGAATATGTTCTGCTGAGGGGAGTAGAGTAGTCCATAAATGTTAAGTCAGCTTCTTTGCTTCAGCTCTCTGTGGCCATCCAGATTTTCTGTGTACTTGTTTCAATTAGTGAGAGAGGGTTTCCAACTGTGAGTGGATTTGCCTCAATCTCCTTTCAGTTTGTTCTGTTTTTGCTTTATGTGTTTACAGGCTCTGTTATTGGGCACATACACATTTAGCTTTTTTTTTTTTTAGACAAGTTCTCACTATGCAGTCCAGGCTGTCCTTGAACTCAGTATGTAGTCCAGGCTGGCCTCAAACTCAAAGCAATCTTCCTGCCTCAGCCTCCTGAGTTCTGGGATTACAGGCAAGTACCCTCATGTTGGGCCACATTTAGCAATCTTACACATTCCTGATCGGGGGCTTTTTGTCATGATGAGGAGGCCGTCATGTCCCTGGATGGCTCCTTGCCTTGGAGTCCACATTGCCTGGTAGCGACCAACACCCCAGCTCCCCTGTGGCTGTCAAGTTTGCTTGTGGGGAACACATTTTCTTCTCTTTCCTTTCAACCCGTCTGGAGCTTTGTGTTTCCTCTTGGTTTCTTGTGGACAGCACATGGTTTGGCCTTGATTTTTCATGCAATCTGACAACCTCAGCATTTTAGTTAGTGTTTAAAACACTTGCAGTTAGCATAAATATCAATATGATTGGATCAAAACCCACTCAAAAGCTTCATTTTGTTTTAACTTTTTTGTTACTTTTTGTTTGATTTTCTTGTCTTCTTGTAGATTAACTACATGGTATATCTGTTCCCAGTTTAGCTCTCTTAGTTCTCTGTGGCTGTTTGAAAATTTGAGGTGTCGTTAGAGATGTACAGAGAGGGGAGGCCCCAGACGAACAAGGTGAGGCCCTGGGAGAACAGGGCAGAGGCCAGATGTGGGTAGCATGGACCCGTGAGCGCTGGGGCTCCCCAGGTGCGTGGGGACTGATGTATGCTGAGGGACACTTGGTGGCCGCCACGTAAGCAGGCCAGGTGCCAGTTTGGGGTGCACATGGGTGCAGGGCTCCCCGCCCCACCTCCTCACTTCGTGAGCGACACTGAAGTCACAGTGGTGTCGGCCCATGCTGGCTGGTGAGATGGGGTACTGCTGCTTCTTTTGCACTGCCTGCCCAAAGGGGTCTCAGCCGTGCCTTGCAGTGGCTGTGCGATGCTGATCCCTGGGCTGCCCCAGGGAGGCCGAGCAGTGTAGATTTCCTGTTTCTGTCCCTGCCAGACCTTCAGATATGTGCTTGTCTTTGCGGTCGGCCCTGTGCTGGGGTTGGGACACAGGACATAAGATCACCTCTCTCCCTAGGAGATGCTTGTAACAGGCAGTAAAGTGGCTCCCATGATCAGATGGAAGCAACTCCCGACACCCACGCTGTGCCCTCATGGAGGAGGTGCCTGTGTGACTTTCTTCACAGCATGTGCAAAGATCCTGAGGCATGAAGGCCATGTGGGTTCAGAGCAGGAAGCAGCAGGAGGCTGAGGCCTGAGCAGCTGTGCTAAAGGGAGCTGACCCTGACAGCCTTCAGGAGTGATGCTGAGGCCTTGGCAGAAAAGGGCAGGTCAGCCAGCCTTGGGTTCTCGGTGGTTTTCCTTACTACAGAGTGAAGCACAAAGAAGAGGAACCGTGATGACTCACATGCATTTTTAAAGAAATGCCAGGGGATGCCATTGAGACTCAGTGGTGTGTCTTTGCCTGGCATGCGTGAGGCCCTGGGATCCAACCCCAGAACCCACCCCTACTCAAAGCCAGACATTTTCGGTGTTTTGTTTTGTTTTGTTTTGTTTTTTGTACTGGGGATCAAACTCAGGACCTTGCACTTGTGAGGCAGGCTCTAAATTAATTAAGATAAATTAAACTGAGCTAAATCCCTGACCCTACTTTTGGTGTTTTTGAGACAGAATTGTGCTATGCAGTTCAGCTTGGCTTTGAACTCCTTGTATAACCTAAGCTGGCCTCAAACTTGTGGAGGACCTCCTGCCTCAGCCTCCCGAGTGCCGAAATTATAGGCTGCCACACTCAGCGAAGTGAGGAACTTTATTCATATGATTCCATCAGATGACCTAGTGAAATAGGGATTAATTTAAGGGCACGCTCAGCTATCTGATCTTTGACATAGGGGCCAAAAACACATCCTCGAGGAAAGATCGCCTCTTCAGTTAGTGGTTCTGGGAAAACTGGCTGTCCACATGCAGAAGATCGCATCTTGGCCCGTATAGCTCACTGTGAACTACACAGAAATCAAAAGGGATCAAACAGCGAAATATTAAAACAGAATCAGCCTCCTGGAAGATAAAAGAAGTAAAAGTCTCCGAGTCACCGGCATAGGGAAAGACTCGCTGCACAGAAACCCTCCGCATGAGGAAGGGCATCGGGGAACAGAGGACGGGACCCTCGCACATGAGACGGTCTCAGCACAGCCAAGGACGTGGCCAGCAGCGAAGAGACAGTCCACCCTGGGGGAATTGGCCGGCTACTCCTCAGACTGAGAGCTAGGAACAAGAATACAGGAAGAACCCCAAACACCGGGCTCTCCAGAGTAAAAGGCCCGGTCACAAAATGGGCAGCTGAAATGACCAGATGCTCCTCAGAAGCACAAATGGCCAAAGCACACATGGAAAAGTGCTCGACGCCCCTGGCCATTAGAGAAATGGGAACTCAGATGACACCGAGATTCCGTCTGACCCCAGGGAGAGCGGCCATCGCCGGGCAATCAGATAATAACATGCCGGAGCGGCTGCCCGGAAGAAGGGGCCTTTGTACATTGGTGGGAACATAAACTGTCACAGGCACTGTGGAGATCAGCAAGGCGATTCCTCAAAAAACAAACACTGGGAATTCCATTCTTCCCAGCGATGCCCTCTGTGCATCTTCCTGAAAGAGTGGAAGGCATGGCGGCAGTCCATGCGAAGCTATGTGTACAGCATCATAACTCATGATGGCTCAACTGTAAAAGCAGCCCATATGCCCATCAGTACATGAATGAGTGAAGACAGAGTGGTATTTGCACACTTTGGGGTACTGCTCTGCCACAAAGACGGCTAAGCTTGAGATATTCATAGAAAGAAATGGATGCCCCTTGCCTGGGCGTGGCAGTGCACACCTGTGATTCCAGTGCTCAAGAGGCTGAGGCAGAAAGATGACTGAGTTCCAGGGCAGCCCAAGGTACCTAGTGAGTTCAAGCCCAGGCCAACCTGGACTACACAGCAAGACCCTGGCTCAGGAAAAAGAAAAGAATGGATGCACCTCGAGGCCATCGTGTTCAGTGAAATGAATCAGACACATGAGCTTAAAGATTACAGTTTCTCTAATATAAGAAACTTAAAGTACAAGTAAAAAGCAAAATGAGAGATAAGAGGAAACGGAGAGACACCTTTTGAAAAAGGGAAGGGGACCAAGTGAGGGAGGCGGGAAGTGGGGGGAATGCAGGTGTGCTGAGCACCGCACCGGCTCCCGGGCAAGGCCTTCCGTGTGTGCTGCAAACACAGGGGCCTCACCAGGAGGCGGAGCAGGGGACACGGAGCCGGAGGATGCTGGGAGGAACTGCGGGCTGAGCCTGGTGCCTGCCAGCCCTCGGTGGGGCGGAGTCACAGTGAGTGGCAGGAGCGCGGCGGAGGGGCCCACGCGGCTGCTCCAGCACCCGCTGGGGACCTGGTAGAGGCGAGAGCTCCTGAGTGCGCTGCTCAATTCCTGCTACAGAAGCTTCTAGAACAGGCAGACAAGTGTCCAGCGAGGCACAAGATAGCAGACCTGTGCCCAGGCTGGGGAGGGCGGACGAGGTCCTGGGCTACACGATGTGGACAGCAGCAGACTCTCAGAGGTGGCCTCTGCCAGCGTGGCCAGGGCAGCTTCTGCACCCCAGGGTGTCTTCCATTCTGCCTCGGAGTAGCTGACCTGTCCCCTGCCCAGCAGCCGAAGGGGAAAGGTGCTGAGTGGCCTTGAGCTTCCGGAGGGTGACAGCCCCGAGGACTGCCGGGGGCATGGGAAAACTTGACCTTCAAGTCAGCAGCGCAGAGGGGTGGACGCCAGTGCTGCTGTGTGGGCAAAGGTGAGCTTGAGAGAAGCTGTCCGGAGCTGGGGGAGGACGGAGGCGCCCAAGGTGGCGGGGACAGGGCCTGATGTGGAGCCCGGTAGCCCTGAAGGAAAGGGTGGTCCCAGCCCTCCACCCAGAGCCCGAGTCTACCATCACGCTGGGGATGAGGGTCTCTGCAGATGTGCTTACATGGAGGGTTGGGAGTGAGCTCATCTGGGTGAGCAGGGTAGGCCCTGAGGGCCACGACAATGGTCCGTGTAAGAGGACAGCCGGCCTGGAGGGGCACCACTCACTGTGATCGCAGCACCCCAGGAGGCTGAGGCAGGAGGATTGCAAGTTGAGCCCAGCCTGAGCAACTGAGGGACTTCGTGAGACCCTGTCTCAAAACGAAAAAATAAAAAAGGGCCAGGGATATATAGCTCAGTGCAAAAGCCCTCCCCCAAAATAAATAAATAAAAACAAAGCCACAAAGGCCATGTGAAGACGGGCTGAGACCGGAGAGCCTGGAGTGCTGGCGCTGGGCAGGGTGGGGAGGACTGGAGGGAGCAGCTGTCCCACTCCTGTGACCCCGTCTGGTCACATCTCCGGGGTGTAAAGGGCCGAGGTCCCCCTCCCTGGGCATTCCTGGGCGGGGGCAGGAGACCCCAGCAGCTCAGAGTGATGCGGCTGTAGACCCGTGTCCAGAACGAGGCTCCCCTTGGGCAGAGGGGACCTGAGCCCGGGAGGGGACAGGTTCCTCCTGCCACCCTGGACAGGCACTCGGCCGCTGCTTCAGGGTGAGGCCACTTGGGCCTTCCGCCTGGGCCTCGGCCCCTGGAGCCCAGTGTCACCAGCCTCCAGTGGGGTGGCGACCGCCTCACAGCCAGGAGCCCCGAGTCCTTTCCCTGCTCCCGACCCTGCACTTCTCCACAGGCGCCGTCCTCGGTGCGTCTGGAGCGCGGCCAGTGGCCTCGCAGGGAAGCCGTCAGGGCGGGCGTCCCGGGTGCACGTGCTCTCTGCGGGCAGCGTTCGGAGTCTGGTGACCCCGTGGTCCTGAGCGGCCGGCAGCTTCTGCCTGGAAACAGCCGGGGGTGCTGCCTGCTGGTTCTCGGGTCTGTGCCCCCCTGGTGCCCGCTCGCAGGCACGGCCAGCACGGTCCGAACACACTCACCGAGGACGCTGTGACAAGCGGCCGGCTCAGTGACTCCCGGTGGCCTCAGCACACTATCTCCCACCCCAGGTGTCGGTCCCACAGGCTGCTGTCAAGGTGGTAGCTGGGCCAGCTCCTTCCTTCCCTGCTGTCCAGCTCCTGATGCCCCCACACCCCTGGGCACGCGCCTCATTCTCTACCCTCACAGCGCACGGCTGCAGCCCCACACGTGCCATCACGTCACCTCCCAACTAGCCCTCCTCTCCCCCGGTGCACGACACAGACAGCTGCCCTGGGCCCACGGAGAGTCAGGACGTGGCCATCTTGAGACCCTAAGCACAGCTGTCCTCAGAGGCCCTTTGCTGGTGTGCACTGGGTTGAATCCGGCCTCCCAGAGCATCGACTGGCAGCCGGGGCTCGGGCCACTGCAGGTGTAATGAGCTGTGATGCCACGGCCCTGGGCCAGGGGCCCTGATCCTGATCCAGAGGCTGAGGTTTCCAAGGGGTGGCTTGGGCCGGACACAGGGACGAAGGCTGCGCCGTATCGGCTGCGGCTGGAGGCAGGAATACCCAGGACCGTGGCCGGAGGATCAGCCTGGCCTCCAGCTCGATGCTGCTGTCATCCCGGCTGTGGCTCCTTGTCACAGCTCCCAGGAGCCCAGCTAAGGGACGGCCATAGTCTCTGGAGGACAGGGTGACAGTGCCCCTCTCACCGGGCGCCCAGCCAACCCCCAGGCACACGAGGGTGTGATGCCAAGTCCCTGCCTGCCCACCCAGCCCAGGTGGGTAAATGTCCCTCTGGTGGCCTCGGCCTTCACCCAGCAAGGACAGCGTGGCTCACGGGCCCAGGGAGTCCGAGCTGAGCACAGGCCCAGCGTCTCCCTGGTGCCACATGGCGTCTCCCTCTGGTCCCCACACCAGGGCCCCGGGCGACCTCAGGACAAGGCAGTACCTCTGTGAGGTCCTGGGGTTAGGACTTGAACCTGACTTCAGGGGACACAATTCAGCCTGGCAAAAACACAGAACATTCTGGAAGCACAGCACATCCATCCCTAGGGCTCTTCAGGGGACACTTGCTGTGCTGGAGAAAAGTGTCGCTTCCAGAACATTCCTCCCACGGGCAGACTGGTGACGTGACAGGATGTGTCGGTGCTCTGCCAGGAAACCAGAGGCTCGGCGGCAGTGACACTTGGTCCTCACATCCAGGCTGGTGTCCAGTGGTCCCCTGCTGGTCTCAGCTCCCTCCTGCTGTCCACAGCGACTGAGGGGCGGCAGCTGGGGTGTGGGAGCCCGCTGCGGGGGAACCTTCCCCGCTTCCTCCACATTCCGGGCCCTGAGGAGTCACAGGCGGAGCACAGAGAGAACCTCTGAGGAACGGTGCCCAAGTCCTGCAGGGTGGGCACCTTGGAGGAGAAACAGCTCCGTCAGCAGGCACGGCACCTGTCAGTCATCCCAGAGGATGGTCCAGGAAGACCACCCTGTCCTTCGTGGGGCGGGGACAGGGGAGGCCCTGGACTGACGGCTGTTGTGGGTTCCTGGTCCCGAGCCCTGGCCCCATGGTGCTGCCCCTGCATCAGGCTGCTGTTGCATCCCTCACAGCCCCCTGCGCCCCTGAAGCGGGAACAGCCCCTGCCTCACGTCCTGCCTTTCAGGAACAGGGATGGCCGTGCTCAGCATCCTCCCTTCCCCAGCTGACGTGGCCTCCGTCTCTGTCCCGCCCCTCTGCTCGTACAGCTCGCCATGAAGGTCACATGGGTGTGGGAGGCCGGTGCCCTAACTATCATTCTGCATCCCAGTGTGGTGCCAGTACTGTTAATATTAGGACTTTTTGTTTGTTTGGTTTGTTTTTTGAGGCGCTCTTGCTGTGTAGTCTGGGCTGGCCTCAAACTTGAGATGATCCTCCTGAATGCTGGGATTATAGGTACATACCACCAGGCCTGGCTGTTGTTAATAGTAGTAATAACCTTCACTTAACCCATACAAACAGCAACAGTTAGCACACACTTAGGGACTTCGCAGGTCACCCGTGGTGCTGCACTGGGCAGTATCCCTTATGGTCACGGCCACCTGGCCTCAGAACGTACCCTGTTGGGAAACAGGTCTTGGCAGATGTCCTGAGTTACTGTGGAAAGCAGCTGTGCCGGGTCAGGGTGGTTCTGGGGGGCGGGGTTCTCTCAAGGAAGGAAGGACAGGCTGGAGGGATACGGCCACAGGACAGAGTGGCAAGGATCAGGCCCACCCGAGCTGGAAGGGACCAGGAAGGGGCCTACACCTCAAGCCTCGGAGGAACATGGTCACCAGCACTGATGTGAGGCCTGTGGCCTCCACACCTGGGAAAAAAGCATTTCTGCTGTTGGCGCCCCAGGCTGGGGCAGGTGGAGTCTTAGCAACTACAGAAACCTATGCCCTTGGTGACAACGTCTTAGTCACTTCACTGTTGCTGGGACACAATGGCCGGCACCAGCAACTTAATGGGGAAAGCTTATTGTGGACCCTTGTTATAGCTGCGTCTAGATGACCCCTCAAAGCCTCATGTGGTCCTAGCTGGAGTGTGTGATGCTGGAACAGATTCATGAGCAATGTTAGAATCACAGGCACTGGGATTAAAGGTGTGAGTGCTGCCCACCTGAGAGCCTGGATGGGCTAGAAGGGAGAAAAAGAGCTGTGGTTGCCCCTTGCTGCTTTGCTGCTTTCTGCCTACCATGAACTGTTTCTCCTCTGTGATGCCCTCTGCCACCCGCCCTGGGAACCAGTCAACTATTAACTGAAACCGCTACAGACTGTGAGCTAAACGAGCCTCCTTTAACTTTGGGTGTCGGGTATTTTGTCTCAGTAACAACAAAAGTAACTAACACAGAATTTGATACCAAAGAAGTGGGGTTGTTGGGGGAAAGTGAGACTGCTCAGCACTGCAGCCAAATATTACAGCTCTGTTACAGCTGCAGCACCTTGAAAACTTAAGAATCTGAAAGCCACTGGAAGAGATGGAGAAAAAGCAAGCTTTATTACGCCAGCTGACTCAGGAGTTGGAGTGCTCTGAATTCTGGGCCACAAGTTGCAGTGAGATTGAGTTTATATCCAGTTGGGAAAAGAAGTTGAGAGGAACCTTTCAGAGTGGAGGCACAAGTGGGAACCTCTTGGAGCGGAGTCCACCAAGCATTCTTGAAACCTTGGGTAGAAACATATGTAGCACATGCAGTTACACTGTTTGAACAGAACACTTTCGATACATTGGGCAGGTACCTCCTGCAGCACAAATGGTTACATTTATTGAACAGAACATTTTATGGCAAAAACATTGCTGTGAGGATACCTGTCCCTGCGGTTCAGAAGCCTTTGGGACTGGCTTGTGGGAAGAGTTCTCAAAGGTTGGGAGAAGCCTGCAGACAGCCGGGGCACCGGAGGCTGCATTTGATGGTCCGAGGTCAGAGGACCAGGAGGCTGATGGGAATCCTGCCTGTAAAGATCAGGCCCGGGAGGTTTCTGCTGGGAAGAAGGACTGCACTGGCTGCTGGACTCCAGGCGATGTGAACTATGCCTCGGCAGAAAGTTTTGTCTGCATTTTGCTCATGTTCAGAGACTTTGCCTGGGATGGAGTCTAAGGGTGGTGGGCTAATTAATCTGGCAGAAAAAAATTTCAAGGCAGTCTAATGTCGAGGTGGTGGCATGGCTACTGTTGGGGAGTTTTTAAGTTAGATTTATGTGGAGAATAAAGAGCAAAGAGCCTAGCAGAATGATTCAAAACATGAGTTTTGCCAGGAATGGGGCTCTCTAGTAAAGTTGCAGCCTGCAAAGACAGAACAGAGGAGAAATTGGCCACTGAAAAGACTACCAAGAAAAAAACTAAGTATTCTGGAAGAAGATAAGAGCTGTCCTGAGAACAAGAAACAATAGGACTCCGGCCTCAGGTTGCAAAGACTTCGCTTTGAGGAGAGAGCCTCAGAGCACTATGTTCCAGGATGGCGGCCTAGGGAAGTTGTTCGTGGGATTTGGTTCGCGGGCACCTGACCCCTTCCGCCGAGAGAGAAGGAAGCCTAGCTGCTGCTCTGTCTGGAAGCAGACTTCGCCATCATCCATGTGGTGCTGCTTTTAGGTGCATGCGGAATGCAAGAGTTGCGGGGTCGGGAAGACTTCCGCCCCGATGGCAGAAGAAGGGGCGGGGGCCAGCAGTGGGTGACGCTGCGAGTGTGAAGCAGAAGGTGCAGTGGGACCCTAGAAGTGAGGAGAAGCCGGGTACGTGGATCGTTTGAGGAAAGCTGCAGGGGGTGAGCAAAGCCAGCCAAGGACAGGAGCCATGGGAGCTGCGACAACAGCAGAGCCACCTGAGCCCTCTGGAGCTCACACCTTGCCACAGGTGTCGGGGACGCTGGAAATGGAACTGTGGGATTTTGGTCTGGATTCGTTCCCTTTCCTAGCTATCCTGTTTGTGACTTTTGGAATGGAAATGTCCGTCTTGTGCCATTGGATGTACAGGGGCGAAGAGTTTACCTCAA